GGAGCCTTAAAAACAGCTCAAAACTCAACAACTCGAAAAAACTACTAATTTTAACGCTAATTTTATGGTTTTACGATGGCGTAAAAAGAGCATAGATAAAAAACTTCAAACCTCTAGGAGCAATTGTAGCAATTGATGAGGTAACAAAAGAGGAAATAGAACAAGGAAAAAATAACTCGAGAAGAAATTCAGCATCATGTGACTGAAATTTAATAGAAAAAACAAATATTACATTTAGTGACGAGAAACTATCTTGGAAGGAGTATGAGAATATCAAGACGGGACCGAATTATCAACGAGGCCTTCAGATATACTAGTAGATTAAACACACAACAATTAACGAACAGCACATCTTCTACGGATGAGAGAAACTAGATATTCCATCAGAGTATTTAGATGGAATCCACCTTCTTCTCCTTTATAGGCAATCTCCGCGACGGAGGTAGGCAGTCATCATGACTATTCTAATCTTAAATGCAGCTGTTCTGAATAGTTAGATTGATGTGCATTCATACCATTCTCTCAAGTTACGCAGCCATGAGATTCTTCTCTTTCCTAGACATTTCCTATTCTGGATCTTCCCTTGTATAATATTTTGATGGTTTCCATTATTTTCATTATTTTTTTAACTTTAGCTTTCCTCACGACTACGTTGTTTGTACATGCTCTGTCCATAATATCTTCTGGATTATTTTAGATATCCACACTTCGAATGATTCTGGGTAAGGGTCCGCTTTTTCATTCCGTAGAGCAATAAAAAGGACCTTCCTCATTTTATTAAAGTTTGTCCGTGCTTTTTCTATTTAAACTTTAATTTTATTTGGAGTAATCGTTTGTAAATAATTATTTTGCCAAGATAGTTGTAGTTTTCTATTGGTTATTACCATTAATAATCAGGCTTTCATCATTATTTAGGGTTTTTAATAATTTCATAAATTTAGTTTTCTTAATGTTTATTGATAGTCCATATTCTTTTACATATTTAACTTTTTCATTGGCTTCTGGAAGTCATGAAACTTGTCCGCAGTTATAAAGTATCGACTACATCATTGATATTGTCAATTAGTGTTATATTGACCTTTATTTCAGGTGTTTGTCCCTTAAGAGTACTTCTTATAATATCTCCAGAATATGGTTGAACATTGGTGCCTACAACACACATAATATGTGTGTCGTACCCCCCTTTTAGTTTTGAACTAGTTTAAAGTGTGTTTATTAATGCGTGTATGTGCCCGCTATAATTCGAAGATCATTGCAGTTTATTGGTTTTGTTTTAAGGACATCAATTAACTGTATATGACGGACTTTATCTAAAGCCTTGTTGTAATCTATGAAATAGACGTAATCACTTTGGTTAACATCCAAGCATCTCTGGATTAGTACATTGAATGCAAATGAAGATTCTCGGGTACCCACACCTCTACGGAATCCAAATTGGGTATCTTCAATGTTAATATTAAGTTTTTGGTAAATTCGTCTGTGAATGATCTTTAAGTAAATTTTAAGTGTGTGATACAATGATACTTATGGTACTGTGGTCGCTGCATTCTCTAGTATTTTTCTTTTTAGGAGAAAAAGAAATGTTACGGTCAACCATTCGTTAGGTATGTCACTCGATTGATAAATTCCATTAAATAGTTCTACCAGGATATCCATGGACGTATGTTCTATTATCTTAACTTTGTCGATAAGCAGTTGATCTGACCCAGGGCTTTTCCCGTTTCGTGTTTTCTTTACTACAGTATTTCTTCCCTTGTTATCTCTTTACTTGTTTCTTATTTTTCTTTGTAACGTTCTGTCCTATCCTGTACCTCGTCGATCATTCAATTATCTTTTTTTTATCGCCTCTTTTAACATCTCTTTGCATGAAATAAGAAGATAGTTTTTTTAGATGTTTTCTGTTTGTTTCTCTTTAAACCCATCTTGCTTCAGTTTTTTAACTTCTAGTTTTAACGTTATTTGTAGTTTTCTAATACGTTTTAGTTTAAGAGCGACTTAAGCGATTAGTGAGTTATGGTTCAATGTGAAATCTTGTCCTGAATATGTTTTCACCGATTTGGTGGTATACCGATATCTCTCTTTAATAATTATATTCGATTTGATTGCCTATCATTTTTACCGGCTTATCCGCTGGCGAGATCCACGTATATAACTGTTTCATATGTGGTTTAAAGAACGTTTTTGTGATTACTAGACTTTGTTTGTGGTAGAACTGTATTAGCCGATCTCCTCTCTTGTTACATTTCCATAGTCCGTGATTTCCCACTATTGTTCCAGCTCTTTCTCTGTCGACTTTTGCATTGAAATCGCTCATAACTACAGTGATTTGTCTACTCTGTTATTTTCATGACCTCTTTAATGTTTTGATATAATGTTTCTACTTCATCTTTTTTTTTACATCCATCATTGGCGCATGTACATGGATCAAATTTAGTTTTGTGTGATATGGTATTATTTGTGGAAGCATCACTATTTCTGAGATTGGGACAAAACCCTTCTTTTCTCTGTCTTCTATATTGACAAAGATTGCTACATGTTGGTTATCAATGTTATTCGAGTAATATAAGATACGGTGTTTTTAAAAGGTGTCCAGAATTAGGCCACCATGTCTCGCTTACTCCTAATATATTTATATGCAGTCTGTTCATTTCCCGAAGAATGTTATCCATTTTACCTGGTTGATACGTGCTTTTGACGTTCCATATAACTTTTTTTGAGTTGGATTATCTTATCTTTTGTCTTTGTTTGACAAGGGTTTTAGCTGCTTAAAGATCTGGGGGTCCTTATCTCTTCTTCATCTGCTGATCTTAAGTTCCGGTTTCTATGATATATTATATATATATATATATATATATATAATATATATATATATATATATATATATATATATAATGGCTATACACCCCAGTGTGGGTTTAAACCGCAAATGCTTTCTAGATCCTATTTTCTTTTTTGTTTATCTTATCTTCTTGACAATATTTCTTCATTTTTCCTGTCTCTAGTTCTTCCTCCCATCCTCTGACGGCTGCCCTTTGGAGGTCTTCTTTAACTTCTTGCAGCCACTTTGATCTCGGTCTTCCCCTTCTCTTTCTTCCTCCTCGATTCCATTCTATCATTGCATATGTCACTGCCTCATCGCCTGCTCGCCAAATGTGAACTAACCATCTAACTCTGCATTGCTTTATTTTAGTTACAATGTCTTCCTTAAGTTTTTCCTCAATTTTCCTTTCCCTTTTCCTTTTCTCAGCTATTCTTAAGTCTTTTTCATCTTTTTTAACCATCGTTATTATTTCTCCTGCATATAATAATATTGGTCTAATTATGTTGTTATAAATGCTCATCTTAATTTTTTTAGTCAGTGTTTTGCTTTTAAGTAATCTTTTATTTGCAAAATAAGCTTTATTCGCTGCTAATATTTTTTCTTTTATTTCGGATTTCCTTGCTCCGGATTTACATATTGTAACTCCTAGATAGTTAAAGTATTCTACTTCTTCAAACTCAGAACTTCCTATTTTGATTTTTTCTTTCATTAGTTTTTCCCCTAATCTTAATATTTTTGTATTTTCTTGATTTAGTCTTAGCCCCATTACCTCCCCTTTCTCTCTTATTTCTTCTAGCATTTATTTCATTATTTTTCTGTTCTTTGCAAAATAATAGCAATATCATTTGCATATGCAATTATTTGACCACCTCTTGTTCTGAGATTTCCTTTATTTATAATAATTAATTAAAAAGCGTTGTTGATAAGGCATCTCCTTGTTTTATCCCTTTATTTATACTGAATTCCTTTGTCTCTCTTCTTTGTGTCTTTATGCATATTTTTGTAGTTCTCATTGTCATTTCTATTAATTTTCTGAGTTTATGTGGAATTTTTAATTTTTTATGTGCTATCATTAATCCGTTCCTTTTAATTAAATCAAATGCCTGTTTGAAGTCTATGAATAACATTTCCAATTCTAATGTGTACTCGTTTGCTTTTTCCATTATTTGTTTTATTGTGTGTATTGCATCTATTGTAGATCTTCCTTCTGTAAATCCACATTGGTATCCATAATTGTCCTACTGTCCATAATGTCCTCCTGTCTTCTTTGTGATCTTTGATAACCTTTTTTTTAATATTGATGTCAATATTTTATATGTTGTATTTAGTAACGTTATTCCTCTATAATTTTCACAGATTTGTTGGTCTCCCTTTTTGTCTGCCCTACCTCCTAGTCCCCTGGCATTTTCTCTTCTTTCCATATATTGTTTAATAGTGCCAGTATTTTTTCTCTTAGTTCCCTTCCCTCGTATTTTATTAGTTCCATATTAATTCCATCTTTACCTGGGGCTTTTCCATTTTTGCTTCTCTGTATTACTTTATCCAATTCCTCTAATATTGGTTGCTTTGAAATTTCGATTTCTACTTCATCTACTTCATCTGCTTCTTTTTCGTGCACCGTTTCCTCCTCTTTATGCATTTCTTCTCTTGTTGTTTCCTCCGTCAAGAGCTCTCTGTAGTAATCTCTCCATACTTGCTTGTATTCTTGGTCCTCTATTATCACTATACCCTCTCTATTTTTTATTCCGTTTCTATGATAAGCGTTACTAATTTTCTTTTAGTACTCATTACCATGATTATTTTACCATAAATATCCAGGTGGATCTTTAATGCAGTGGTTTCTTATTGCCTTCTGCATCCTTATGCTGTTGACCAAATCTTTGATTTATCTGCCTTTGGGACTGGTTTCTCAACCCCAGAAAAAGGGTGCCTTACCACTTACCAACTAACTCTTCTGCCCGATATCATTCAAAATCCACCAGGAAGGTGTAAAAGACAAAAACTAAGACTGTCCTGTAGTGGATACTTCTAAATAATAAAGCGCAGAAAATTCGAAAAAGAGGACGTTTAAGGCACACAGGTGGCAATTGAACGTGAAAATGTGACGTTAACAGTTTAAATCACCTAACTTATTTAAAATTTTAACATAATTGTAGTCCATTTTGCATGAAAAACTTACTATTTGCCATTAATGGTATGTTCCGAAGGCCAATGGAAGTGTAAATTATCAAAAATGTATGTTTCGGGTAATACACTTCCAGCTAAAGTCACTACTCCTTTATTTTCTGGGGAGAAGGTTATCACAACTAAAACATAAATTTTAATAATTAATAAATTACAAAATCAAATCTTTATTGTAGGTACAAGTGCACAAAATGAAATACTTAGGAAATAAATATTTACTGAAAATTCGTAAGAATAAACATCTTTGTAAACTAAGACACAATCTCCAAATCCGATATCGGATGGTAAAATATTATATTCATTCTATTATTCTTTATAGCGCCGATGATTGGACTATTAATGTTGACTTTATGAGAAAGCTGAGAGCTTTGGAGGTGTAGCTTTTTAGAAGAGTTTTAAAAATAATATGGACAAATCATATTAGGAACGAAATGGTGTTGCACGGAATGGAAAGAGGGAAAGATAGTGAGAGAGAAAGAGAACTTTTCATCACTATTAAAGGGACGCAGACAACATATTTGGGGTACATATTATAAAATGATTAGTGTAAGTTGTTGCAGCTGATTATAATGGGTAAAAGGGAGACACTTTTAAGAAAAGCCGACAGTAGAGACACATTTCCAATGGTTATATCCAACCTTGATTAGTGCAGTCGGTTCTATTTATTATCTGAAGAGTCTATTTATGATCAGTATATTTGCAATTTTTCTTTCAAATTAATATATAATAGTTGGTATATTGAATAAATAACTCCAATAACAAAATAATATAAATTTCCCTAATACATCAACCAGAAACACTAAGGGAAATAAACGAGTACAATTCTTCGAAGAGAACAACCTGTTAATAGCCAACACTTTCTTCAACATCCCAAAAGGCTATACACTTGGAAATCACCTCCAGACAGAGAAGAATAAATTGTTAGGAATCAAATTAGATTAGATTAGATCAGATCAGATCAGATTAGGTATATTTCCCAATGTATTAAAAACAGGTATCATTAAACCGCTTTCTAAAGGTGGAGATCATAGTGAACTTGGAAACTATAGACCAATAAGCTTGACTTCGAATCTCAGTAAAGTAATCGAAAAAATTATAAAGTCCCCTCTAAATAATTTTTTAAAGACACATAATATATTATCTGAAAGTCAATATGGCTTCAGAGAGGGAAGGTCTACAGAAGATGCAATTGGTAAATTGGTAAAAAATATTTATAACTCTTTAGATAATAAAAAAGCTTCCTTATGTATATTTGTAGATCTCTCTAAAGCATTTGATACTGTAAACCACAAAATACTGTTACATAAACTAAAAAATTACGGAATCAGAGGTGTGGCCTTCAAATTGTTAGAGAGCTACTTAAGTGACAGACAGCAAAAGGTAACTGTAGGTGGTAAAATCAGCATGACCAGAACTGTGACTTACGGAGTCCTACAAGGATCGGTGTTGGGGCCGCTGTTATTTACTATTTATATAAACACATTACTTACATTACAGACTTCATGCCAGATCATAAGTTTCGCTGACGATACAGTTATTTTTTATAGCAACAATAATTGGAAAAAGTTAAAGGAAAATGTCGAAATGGAGTGAAAATAAAAAAATGGTTTCAACACAACCAATTAACATTAAATATTGAAAAAACTAAATACTTGCCATTTTCGTCATACACCACTGGGTTACCAAACTTCAACCAACTTGAAATTGACAACAATACAATAATTCCAGAAGCAGAAAAGATTAAGTACCTTGGCATTGTAATAGACAGACACTTAAAATGGAATCATCATATTAAATATGTAGTCCAAAAAATAAGAGGTTTACTCTCAAAATTCAAATATCTTTGTGACTTCTTGGATGTTCACCACTTGAAGATTTTATACTATTCTCTAGTACAATCACAATTAACCTATGAGATTATTGCATAAGGTGGAGCCTACAATGCTCACCTTAAAAATCTAAACGTTATACAAAATTGGATAATTAGAATAATATATAGAAGGGGTATAAGATCTTCAGTGGACCAATTATTCACTGACAGTCATTTCGTGGATTTAAACCAGTTGTACTCCTACAAATCATTATTATATTTACACAATGAGAAATCATTTCTGAATTTTACCCACCATACATATCAAACCAGAAATAGAAATTTAACGATATTAGTACCAAAAAAAGGAAAAACCATTGGCCAACGTTGCATTGATTTTTTGGGACCAAAAATGTTTAATTGCTTACCATCTACCATCAAAATAATACACAACCATAAAAAATTAAAAAAAAATTAAAACAATGGATCTATGGTAATAGATATAAATTGCATGAATTAATAAACAACTATTAATGAGCTTCAATTTCAAATAAATGTTATATTTTTAAATTTTATGTTATGTATGTTATGTATATTAAACAGTTGTTATGTTACTACTTTAAAAAAAAAATTTATAATTGTAATTTGTGCGAATAGGTTAAAAAAAAAGATTTCAACCCTCACTTACAAGTTGTAGTCCATGTGACACACAACTTCTGTGAGTAGCTGGGTTTATTTATTGTATAAAATATGTAAATTTATACTGTAATACATTCTTTTGTTATAAATAAACTCTATTATTATTATTTATTACAGATTTAGCCATACGGCTCACACTCCCTCTAAGGGGAAAATTCACTCATCCCAGATACCTACGGTATCAAAAGGATTGAGCTCTGGTGGGACTCTTTCCATGTTATCGAGCCCTAGGTGACTTGGTATATTGGAGTATCTCCCAGAAATTTTCGTACACATCTGGACGTCGCGAGGAGTACAGCTTTCTGCATGGCCTTATAAAGATATTCATTTAGACCCAGCTGTTTTATGTTCGCTAGGAGGTTTTTGGGAATAACACCAGTAGTAGATAGAACAATAGGTAGTGTCTGGGTACTTTCCATTCTCCATTGTCTCCTGATTTGTATTTCTAGATCTCTGTACTTGGCGATCTTTTCGTTGTATTTAACAACTAAATTATTGGTGTTGGGTATCGCCACATCAATAAGTGTTGTTTGTCTAGTAAGTTTATTAACTAGTATGAGATCCGGTCTATTATGGGCCACTGGTTGGTCTGTAAGCACAGTGCGGTCCCAGTATAGCTTGTAGTTGTCATTTTCAAGCATTCTATCAGGAGCGTATTGATAATAAGGAAGATGGTCGGTATGGAGAAGTCCCAGTTTGTCAGCTAGTTCTTGGTGAATAATCTTTCCTACTGAGTCATGGCGTTCTTTATAATCAGTACCGACAAATGCCTGGCAGCCACCGGTAAGATGTTGGATGGTTTCTTGGGCTTGGCATCCATATCGGCATTTGTCATTTTGGACTTGAGGATCTTTAACAATATACTTCAGGTAATTTTTAGTTGGAATAACCTGATCCTGAATGGCAAGTAGGAAACCCTCAGTCTCGGGGAACATCTTTCCTGATGTCAACCAATAGTTCGACGCTGTATTGTCGACATATTCTTGGTTGATCTCATTGAGATGTCGCCCATGAAGAGGTTTACTCATCCAGGTGCGCATTTTTTCTTGCTGAGTCAGGTGGTTTATGCGCATTTCTTGTTCCCTCAGTTTAAGCGGCGTCGTATCATCTACTGCGCAAATTGCTCGATGTAATGTAGATGTCTCAGCCTGTACCTGAAAATAAAGTCTTAGATTAGCAATTTGTTTATCTAATTGCTCACCTATATCCATAAGTCCTCTTCCCCCTTGATACCGCGGTAATGTTGTTCTCTCTACTGCACTACGTGGATGATGTTTTTGTGCCTTTGTGAGAAGTGTTCTTACTTTCCGCTGAAGACCCTCTATATCCGTTTTTGACCACTTTATAATACCAAATGAGTAGCTCAGTGCAGAACAGGCGTACGTATTTAATGCCTTAAACAAATTTTTACTATTAAGATATGACCGATTTAGTTGTCTTACTCTTCGCACGAACTCCGAAGTTAGTTCCGTTTTCATTTGTTTATGGTCAATTTTACGTGCCTGCTTTACTCCGAGATATTTGTACATATCATTTTCACCCATTGCCTCGATGTTTTGGCCATCTTGCATATCGAAACCTCCAGGCTGAACCTTTCCTCTGACTATATTTAGTATACGGCACTTGTCTAGTCCAAAATGTATACTGATGTCATTTGAGAAATTTTCTACAGTTTTTAGCATCTCATCTAGGTGATTTCGGGTGGAAGCCAATAATTTTAAATCATCCATATACAACAGATGATTAAGTTTCGCTACAACGGTGTTGTTATTTTTGATGCTAAATCCTGAGTCAGTAGAGTTCAGCAGCTGAGATAGTGGGTTCATCGCTAGGCAGAACCAAAGTGGACTCAACGAGTCCCCTTGGAAAAGGCCCCGGTTAATAGGGATATCTTCAGTTTCGATATTAATTTCACCAGGTATTTGAAGGTGAATTTTAGTCTTCCACTCTGCCATTATATGCTTCAAAAAGGTCACGAGATTATCATCGACTTTATATATTTTCAATATATCTATAAGCCATTCATGCGGCACTGAATCAAAAGCCTTCTTGTAGTCAATGAAGGCAGTAAAAAGGTTTCTTTTTTTGGTGTATGCCTGGTTAGAAATGACTGAGTCGATAATAAGTTGTTCTTTGCATCCCATGGAGCCCTTAGCGCATCCTTTCTGTTGGGGCTCTATGATATTGTTCAGAGCACAGTGTTGGTAGATACGCCGGGCCACACAGGATGTGACCAGTTTGTACAAAGTTGGAAGACAAGTAATTGGGCGGTACTTGGCTGGATCTTGGGTGTTATTTTGATCCTTCGGTATTAGATAGGTGGTTCCCTGAGTAAGGAATGATGGTATTTCCTGTGAATTAGAAATAATATTATTAATAAATACTGTTAAAAGCTCATGAACACTCCAAATCTTCTTTAGCCAGAAGTTTTGAACTCCGTCCGGTCCAGGAGATTTCCAGTTATGAAGCTCTTTGATAATGTTCGAGACTTCTTCAGTGGTGAAAGGTTCATAAGGAATATTCCTGTAGTGTTGACATTTGTTCGTGGTGTCTTCAATCCATCCAGCTTTGTTGTTATGGGTAGCTGGCGTCGAAAGTTGGTTTCCCCAAAAC